TTAGTTGTAAGAATATTGTTTTTAGACATGTTTATAACGAGGCATGTCTGGTTACTCTTTTATGACATGTAATGTTGTTTTAGTAAATAAAATAAATATTGCATGTACACATTGTAAAGAAGAAAGTAGTCTGTATCACTTCACACAGAGCACACATGAAAAATAACACAAGTATGTCAAGTACTCTACTTGATTACGAAGCAAGCATCTGCCAATAGACGAGTATTTGATATGATAAGGTGCTCCACACTTCTCTGCAGTATTAAAGGCTGTAAAACATGTTAATTTGTATGATGCAGGAGAGGAAGGTTTTGAGCACATGTATGGAGGCAGTAGGTGCCTGATGAAGGTGATTTACTCACCTTTCAGCAGGTTCTGTTGCCATCTCTTGTGCTTTGTGGTTCCTTTGTTTTTGCAGATGATTCGTTTTATGAGTCAACCCTTCACATTTGCTACAGCATCTACCCCAGCACCCGTGAGATCAAGACATTGTTATGGGCTGGGAACTTCTAGAAACAACTTTGTCCAACTCAGGAAGTTTCCAGTTCACCCATTCTATACGTGGATCATAGAATCATAGAATCATAGAATCATAGAATCATAGAATCATAGAATCATAGAATCATAGAATCATAGAATCATAGAATCATAGAATCATAGAATCATAGAACGGTTTGGATTGGAAGGGACCTTAAAGGTCATCTAGTTCCAACCCCCCTGCCATGGGCAGGGACGTCTCCCACTAGATCAGGCTGCCTTGTCAGCAGAGGTGAGAACTGGCAAGTCTAAGAAGAACATGTGCTGCTGGCTGGAATTCCATGCCACCCCATGCCATTATTGCATATGATTTGAGACTCTGGCCACCAATATTAATTTATTTTGAATTCTATGAGTATTGTTCATACTTGGACCAATCACACTGAATTTATTTACAGATATGTGAATGATATTACAATTTACCTTCTGTTTTTTAGAGGATTCTAATGCCAGCTACCACAGTCAAGGTCTTAGACAATGAGTCCAAGCTCCATCAGTATGTTATACTGCTCATGGGGTCTACTAAATGTTAGCTGCCAAACTGTTTTTTAAGCTTCTCTTACTATTTCCAATCACAAAGCATAAAGGCAGCTAGCTGGTTTTCACTCTTAAATATTTTAAAGTAAATGCATAAATACGAATACTGCCAGATATTTTCATTGTTTTTCTGCTTTATTTCTTCAAATGTGTTGATTTTTAGAGGAAATATTTTCATTTGCTACTTGCAGCAGACCTCTCTACAACAGGAACAAGTTCTAGTGGTCCATTATACACTGATCGAGGATCTGGCTCCAACTGCAGTAGCACTACACCATTGGTGCCTCCAGTCTGCTGGTTCCAAAACAACCAGTCTAAACCAACCAATCTGGATGAATTAGACTGGTTTTGAACGAAGCTACAACATTCTCTGATTCTTAACCATTGCCTTTTTATGTTGGAGCCTCTGTTGAATGTGTGGCAGCCAGCAATTCCTCTCTCTCTTGGAGACCCTGAGCTTTCTCCTCAAGGTAAGCAAGGGTGAAGTAAAGATGGGAAATGAGGGTTCATCTTGGAGTTTAATGCAGTGTATTTCACTATTACTCTGTGCATATGTCCTCAATAATCGTGCTGCATATTTCAACCTTACTGCACAAAACAAAAAGTCAGCAAAACAGTGTCTGACTTGATCCCATCAACGCATTGAGACATTGCCCAGGACTCATTTGATTATTCAGTCAAGAAACCTCAGAAAGCTATACGTGGAAAGAAGTCAGTTAATCGCTTTGGATACCATCAGCTAAGTTTTAGGGTGTGGATACAGGAAAACCTCTCTGTCTGTGATGCCCATAAAATAAGAATCAAGATCAGGGTTCTCAGAACACCTGGTAACTTCACGTATGTTCCATTGTACATTCCTATGCGAAAAGAGCTTCAGAGACTCTGCCTACAGCAAGCTGTTACCTCTCACGAAGTGTCCTGGGAGGTGTGTCAAGCCAAGTGCTGAAATCACCAGTAAACTTTATAAGTCTGACTTACTTGCTCTCTCTCCTGTTTAGCGACTATTGAGATACTTCATGTGTTCTGGAACAAAGTGCCTGGGGATAGAGTTAGGGAGTAGTTTTATCATACATGTATTGATTTTATTTTACTGGAACAGTGATGGGAGCCCTTAGCTGGAGCCCAGGTTGCTATGTGGCAGAGACTTGGCAAAGAGAGAAAGACAGTATTCCTACCCTGAAGAACCTGGAGTTAAGCCAACACCGCTATGACTTAACAACACTCACAGCAAAGCATGACAATATAAAGCTAAAGTCGAACACAACATTTGTGCGACAAAGTGGGACTTCTGGTCCAAATTGTCTTTGTGGAACTGTACCTCCATTAACGAGACACAGACTTTTGGGCAGGTTGGAAACCTCTTAGAAAGGTCCGGGGTTCACGGGTGAACCGCATGTCCAGGGTGTCCATCTAGACATGCTGGTTGTGAGTAGGGAGGACGCACATGTAGCCATGACCTGCCATGGCTATAGGGAAGGCAGAGGTGGATGGAAGCTCTGGAAGAGGCTCTACCTTTCCATCTACCTTCTACCTGCTCAGTCAGTGATGAGGGACATCCATCAATGTGCAGCGGAGGTGCAGAGCCCTGAACACTGACATTTTGCCTCTGCCTCTCTTTCTTCAGGTTCTTCTGTGAATCCCTTAGAATACATCTTTTGCAGACTGCAAGGAAAGGTGGAAGCTCCCTGTGGTCCCCCTAGCCCTTCCTCATGGAGTTCTGTGTTCAGCAGTCACTACCACAACACCTGGCATCTTCTGTCTCTTTTGAGTAATCTACCAGTGATGCAGATGCCTAGAATGCGTGGAACAAAACCCTTCACCGTTCCTGCAACAAGACACTGAATTTCCGCAGGGCAAGGCATTCATCTACTAGCGGGAAGATGACAGGTTTAAATGTAAACTGCATATAATATGTGACAAAGGTGTCCACTACATACAGATATATTGAACAGCTATAATAATTCAGTGGTGTCAGTTTTGACAAAGCCGGCACAGAACACCCTTCTGTGCCACGGCTTGTTGTTCTCTCAAAAGTTTGCGACTGTTCTCGGGAAGAGCATGAGCTGTCCTCTGTTCTTCTGGCTTGGATTTAATGCAGATACTGGAAATAGAAAATGACTGTTCCTGGTTAGCTGAACCAAGGCAGAGCATCTTTCTATATTTTTTTTTGTACGTGTATGCCTGTGCTGCAGTAACTCCTTTTTATTTTATGTAGCCAGAAGGAATGGCTACAATTTTGTTTTCCTAATTGTGCATCCTGCTTTCTCTGATTTTAGTAGTTCTTGATTATGGTGCCCCTGAGTAATCATTCAAGGTAGATTGTTAGTGTAAGCTGCATTGCAAGGTCTGTGTCTATTCAATGTGTTGCTGGCTATAACAGAGGCCCCAGACTAAGGTCAAAATTATTATGTGGAGATTAAACTGTAGAATTTAATTATGTATTCTGTTGCTCCTAGTACATTTATTAATTTAGCAGTACAAACTGACTGGAGCTAAACAAGCAGGGCTGATTAATTTGCAAAGACATCTAGGTAACAGATTGTGATCAAAGTGGAGACCTGATCCTGTTAGATTGAAATGTGTTGTTTTGTGCTACATGAAGGACATAGAGCAGCATGGTTTATCTTTATCAATGCTTTCCTCTGAAGGAAAGGAACAAGCTTGCAGATATAATCAGTGCTGAGGCAATGCCACTCAATAATTACCCACTGTCTCATCATAATCCCGGAACTAAGCCCCTGCCCAATCCATCTGGGACACTTTTCCATCTATTGCACAGCTCAAGAATACGTGTGTAAGCTATTACCTCTGGTCGTGCTATCTGTCCCCTGAGTAAAGATTCATAGCAGTGACCAATTATGTTGCAGGAGGCTTCTCTTTCTTTCTGTCTTTTTTTTTGTCTTTGCTACTGAATCATCCTGTATTTCTTAATTATAATAATGGCACACTATTGCACTGACACTTTGAGTTTCAAAAACCCATACAACTACGAGAGTGACATTGCTTGTCACTTGTAAAGCAAATGTTAAAGTAATAGGGATGTAAAAAAAAAAAGCCTATATTTTTGTGATCGGATGTCTGAATGCAAACTGAATGCTACAGGTAGAAGCTACTGTTCTTGGGAGGGTGAAAAGGACCCAGTTTTCCTGGCAACTAAGATTGGGGAAGATCGCAGCATGAAACCCTTATTTGGAGGGGAAAAAAAAAAAGAAAAAAAAAAAGGAAGCAGAGAAACCAGTGGCCAGAGCATGAGTTTGAGATGGAATTCTCTCAAAGAGAATGGAGAATGGCTCAGGTTCCCATTCTCACAGGTACAGGACACTAGACTGAGGTCAGCAGTGTGCTAGTAGCTACTCTGGTCTATACATCATGTCCTTATCGTCTAGAACAAAGATGTATCTTCAGCCTATGGCCCAAAGGTCCCTAAGTTCAAGTCAGTGTAATATAAAGGGGAGCAAGGGCCATTCATGGAGCACTTTGCCTTAGACTAAGAAGGATCAACAGGGACAGCTGCAGGGTCTTGAAAGTCAGGACATTCATTTAACAAGGATTTGAGAGGGTCTCTTGTGGTGTTCTGTGTTGATAATCTGATGATTCTCATGGGCTAGGCAAAGAACAGTGGAAAGACTAAAGAGATGCCAGTGGCTTGGAAAGGATGAAATCCCAAGGAATTGCTTTATGTGATGACATGAATCAGATTTCCTCCCAGACTGACCATCCTGAGAATTGCCGTGAAGTTCAGTTCATGTCTGTAAAGTATCTGAGTTCAAATTAAATGCTCTGAATCACAGCTCTGCCCTGCACTATTATCACAAGGGCTGGATTCAAGACATGGCTCTGGATGTCCCTTCACCTTTTCCTTCGTGTGCAACCATGGAAGGACATATGTACCTTTCCTTTTCTTTCCTGTCTCTCACTTGAAGGAGCTAGCACATGCGTTGATAACGAGTTGTGCAGTTACTGTCTGCCTTGCGAACAGTGACTTCTGGCTTCAGTGGAACCTGGGGCATAGACATTTTCAAGGACCCTACAGGAAAGACAGACACAGTATAGAGAATTAAACAGAAAGCCTGAGAGATGAAACATCCTGGCTAACAGAGCAGGTCAGTGATAAAACCAGGGAGGCAGTTCTAACCCCCCAGTCTAGTCATCCTGCAAATTCTTAGAATTTAATAACAGGCATTTATGCCCTAGGAATGTAGTGAGTTTAGCAGAGGAATCATATTCATGTCAGTGGGACTCGAGATGTGCCAGTTTACAGATAGAGCAGAGTTAAGTGCAAAGACATACAACACTGAATTGATCTCTGAAGACCAGAAATGAGTGCTTGCAGTGTTTTTTTTCTGAAGACCAAGAGATAAATCCATATTGTGGTGCTCTAACAGGTGATCTTTCTTTCATGGAGGAAGCTGAACGAGACTGATGGATGCTAAGAATACTAGAATTCAGGTAATTTATTTTTGTACATTGTTCGAGGACTAGTTCCCTAACTAGAAATTCCTTCTAAATAATTTCTGCTTCATTCTGAAAGTCTTGTCTATGAGTGAAAGCAAGCCTTTATTTTTTTTCTCAGCAAAGCTACTCACAATAAGCATTCTTTCATCTAGAAAACTTTTTTTGGATGCAATTCTCTATGCTGAAGAACAAGCATGCAGCCTTTCCAAAGGACTTCTGGAGAATGAGATCTTAGGAGATCTGCAGTTTTATTCACTGGTGGAAATGTGTGCCTGGAGGAGGTTGCAATTTTTTTCCTTTTCCAATTAATAACCCTGAAAATGACAGGCACGATCATCACTAGCCATGGTCATGGAGACTGGCTAGACCTGGTCCAGATGGTACCATGTTGGCTAACTTCCTGTCAATACTCTTAACAGCTTACAGACAGGGTTATCAGGAACATGCAATAACTCAGTCTAGACAAAAGAATCTATCAGGCATCTAAACTAACAGAAGGAAGACAGGGGATATTCCTAATTTTCCTGCATCAGTTTGGCTGCCCACTTAAAACCTGCTATGAGCTGTTCTCTGTGAGACAGAAATTGCTTATTACTAGACTATGCTGAATGCTACCCTCTGGGTATAGAGTGTGTTGCCTTCTGTTTTCCAACCAAAATTGCTGAGGTTAAGCCCTGCAAAAACGAAACTGCAACACTCAAGCCTCCCTTCTCTCCCTTCAGCATCCCCAATCCCACATTTGTCCTCTTTGAGGAAAAAACTCCCTATCCAGGTGAGTCTAAAAGCTGTCCTTGATGGGAAAACAACCTCCTTTCCAAATATATCAGTCGCCCTGAATTCTTATTTTCTGTATAATGCATGCTCATGGGATTCAAAGGAGACCGCCACAGATTTCTCTGTGCTTGGGGATCCCCCTTGTCTGTAGGAATGTGAAAATCCCAGTAGGTCACTGGGGACTGGAGGCTTATTTCTGTTCTGCCTTTTGGGGTTGGTAGTCACAATACACCTGATGTGCAAACGCCTCAGTGACTGTTGTTGTCCACCTCATGGTCAATGTAAAACCACAGCCTGCTTGGAAAGAAGGCTAACAACGATGCTATCCCCTGCTAGAGATTATTTTTTGAAGGCTCTGTTTAGTAGTCTTTTCAGCAGACTGTGGGGTGATCAGAGAGCACTGTGTTGTATTGGCTGCCTTAGGTGAAATATTCTGCATGAATCCTGTAGCCATGGTGCTTTCAATATGCTGATGTCTTTGTCTAGGACCGTTGAATCTTCTTTTCGTTTTCATTCAATCAAACAGCTCTGGTTTTCCTGTTTTGCTTACTACTCATGAAAATCAGTGTGATAAAATACGTACTACTGCCACATATCTTCAGCTTTTTCTTCTTTTTCTAAATCTCCCAGTTCATGTCAATCTCTCTCATGATTGATATTCCTCTTCAGGATGGAATCAAGGACTCCTGCTTTTATCATCAGGAGTAATGTACCTTCTATTGGGTCTGATGGGACCATCTGCAGAAGACTCAGCCTAGGAGCAGTTTGGATAGCAGAACAGGGCGCCTATTCCAGAGTATGCGTCCATCTCTGCCATTTGATAGAGCTAGGCTGAGAGCTCCATTTTTAAATTTTATTTTATTATTAGGCTTCATGTTTGAAGGATATTCATAAATGGTTTATGATAATTTATCAGCCCACTTGGGTGAATATTGAATTTTATATTTTACGTGGCATGCCAATTTCCCATCTGTTGTATTTGAATAATATACAGGATAGACACTATCACTCAAGTAATCCCTTTACTACCAAATCAATATACAGTACATATGGTGCTGTTTGGCCCACAGATATTTATTGTAGGTCTCTTTGGATAATTATCTTTTAACTCCCCCTGTGTCCTGGTTCTGTAAGCCCTGATCCTGGAAATGCACATGTACATGACTAGCTTCACACACGTAAGCAGTTCAGTCATGTTTACCGAAGGTTTTTTTTACAAAATCTTGAAAATCATCTGTTCACGACATGTTTTATTTCTTGTAGAAGAATACCTGTAATGTGATGGCTGGTTGTTGCAGATGACGCTGGTCTATTCTGTCCTTTGCCAGTATTTTCCGTTCATGTAGATGCACATGACATCTTCCACTGGAAAAAAGCTTTGGGAACCTTATTTTAATGAAGGCTGATATTATTGTTTCAAAGAGAAGACAGTCAAATAACTTGACTAAAAAAAGAATAAAAAACACCTAACCAAATTTTCTGCAGAGAGGCGTTTTGACCTGTTTTGGTGGAGGGATTATCTTCAAAATGTTGGTTATTTGTGGTCATGGTAAAAGAAACTTGCACTTCTGCAAACAGCAGTTGAGACTGAATTCCAACAAGACGTCTCTAGAAAGCGCTCACCTACAATACTGATGTGGGAAGGTGCTTTTAGCCTCGTGGTGACATTACAGTTCCTTCATGAGGTCAGTTTGGTGCCTCAGAAAAATTTCAAGGCTGAATTTCCCAGGAAGTAACAGTGGAGTATTTTAGGATGTGATTGAAGGGCTGACATTATTTAGGAGATTTAAGATATTTTCTGTTTCCTTTGGTAGAAGAAAGCTCTCTACATGGCTGCATCACATGAAACTTTGATTTAAAGAACAACTCAACCTGGACTCCTTCCTGCCTGAGGGGGTTCTGTGGGAGGTAAAAGCCACAGAGTCTTTCCCTGGTTCACCAGTGCTTGAAGCTGTTCAGCATTTTTTCGATTTTATTTGCCCTTCTCCTTAGGGCATCAATATGCAATTTTACAAGAAGAGCATAACCGAGGTCTCGGTGGAAGATTGGAAAGAGGCAGGTGAGACCGGGCAGAGCTTGAAGGGACAGTGGGTAGGGCTGAGAGTGAGACATCCAGTTTGAATTTCATGGTTTCATTAAAAATAATTCAGTTTATTGGTCATATTAATGCTGGCTTAAGAGGTATTGTCCATCCCTCTCTTGTTTGCATCCCAGCTGACTGTCTGTGTGCTGCTCTCTAAGGCAAAATCAGCAGGTTTCAGGAGCTGTGGGAAGCTTTGTGGGGATGTCAAGAAGGATAAAAAAGCCAGAACCTTGGTGGTGTTTGGGCAGAGCTGAGGGAGACTGTTATTTGCAAGGTCCTGGGCTGACAGATGCTTCAGGTTCAGGACCCTGTTCTTGCTCCTTTTCTTCCTCATGTAATCCTTACTGGGCTTGTCTCTGGTATTTGAAGGTGAGTGCCGTGAGACAACCCAGGCACGGAGATATTTATAAATGCTCCTGCACTAACCAGAATTTTAAAAGCTGGCAAAGGTTTGGGCACAGCTAACTGTGGAGCTTGAGAACACGATTAGACCTCCCTAGCACTGGAGGTTCAAGAGAAATGTGCCGTCCCATTGTTAGAGGCGGACTCAGCAGACACACCGAGTAGGATGTTTATGGGGATTGCTAGTGGGTTGTTCTGGGGAGCAGAAGTATAAAAATCAGCCTTGCCCCTTCTTCCATATCCTCTAGCTGGGGCAAACCTGGGTGATACATGGGACAAGGGTGGGATTGATATTTGATAAGTTTGGTACAGTGAAGGAAAGCCTTGGTGACCACTTTTAGATCCTGGTAACTCACATAATTGCTGCAGCTTAATTGTTTTCTGCATCAGAAAAGACTCCCAAGCACTGCATAGGAACAATGTCAACATCTAGGGAGAAAAAATCCCTTTGACACCAGCAGCATTCCATTAAAAACCCATAGTACGTAGGTATGTTTTCAAAATAAGAAACAAATAAATACTAATGAATCAATCTGACAGCTCTCAGATGTGTAACAGGGCAAAGGTGCCCTAGCTCCAGGTAAGCAGAGATGAGTAATTAAAGGAAATAATTATTATGTGTTTGTTTAATTGAAAAGTCCCTGAGGGGAAATGAGATAATTTTGAGTAAATGCTTCCACCAGTGCATTAAAAATACATTTGTGATCAAGTCTAGATTCTTGGAGGCAGATGGGCTGGCCTGCAGGGGAACAAAGAGTTTTTGCAGCGACCTACTGCAACAGTGCATTGGGATGGGGCTTTGTCAGAAGGGAGGAAAGGTAAAACCAAGGGAATGATTTTTTTAAAGCCTCAGCAGATGCCTGCAGAGTTTCTTTGTGGTGGTACGTAGAAATGACTGGTTGGATCTTCTCATCTTTTGCACAGAGCAGGAGAAAGTGTTTTGAACTTTCTGGAAGAATATTTTACACCTTCAAAATCTATATACACACTAAAGTAGATGTGTATATGCATGCAGAATGGACACATTTACTCTCCATAGCTATATCAAGTTATGTCTACCTGTGAATAGGATCTTCTCAATGTTTTCTTGACTTTGACAGGTTCAAAAGAAGGTTTACCAAAAGGTGTTTTACAAATTTCACCTAACATTTTGAAATCAGCTGATTATCTTCAAAGGTAAGTGAGAAACAAGTAATTTTTTGCTCATGGTTGGGGGCAAACTGGTTTTAAATGTATCTAAATCCTGCATTCAGTATTTCCTCATCCTAACCAGTTCTGTCAAGGTAATAGTGTATGAGAATCCCTAGAATATA